AAAAACGAACTACAAACATATTAACGCCAAACATTCGGTAGAATTTATCGAATATTGTAAATATATATATATATAATATATATATATATATATTGGTAACAGACTGTTGTTAACGCAACATTTCAAAAATTCAACACTACTTTCAACATTGTTCAACTTTTTTATATTTCTTTTTAGTTGTTGTTTAGTTGTTGATGTTATTGTTGATGTTGTTGTTGAAATAAAAAGAAATATTAAAAAGTTGAACAATGTTGAAAGTAGTGTTGAATTTTTGAAATATATATATATATATATTGTGAAATTAGGATTTAGACCATATTCGATACAGTTTTTAAGAAAATCAACCGCGTTAATACAATTATTATATTTATACATTAATTTTTTAAGTTTTCTAATTAAAATTTTATTATTGATATTTAATTTATTAAGTAAAATCTAAAATTATTATTGCTCATGTTTATTAAAATAAATAATTGCAGAAATCTTTTTCGATATAAAATATATCATCGTCAGTGCAAAATATTTTAAATAATAACGAAAATTACCGTTTATAAACAAATGACGTCATACCGTATAACTTAATTTTAAGCGCGTAACATTTTTGAAAATACTATTATTAATTATTATATACTATATTTAACATATTGATAAAATTAACTTAAAATTATTTACATAGATATATATTAGAATTAAACAAAATAAATTAAAATTTTAAAATTGCTGAAAAAACGACCATAAAGTAAATCAACAAATAAAAAACCAAAATCAGCCATATCTTCATACTACAATATTTATGTTTCCAAGTTTATATTATTATCATTGTTATTGTTATTATCATTATTATTATTATTACTATTGTTGTTGTAGTTGTTGTTATTATCATTATTATTACTATTGTTGTTGTTATTGTTGCTGCTGCTGTTGTTATTGTTGTTGTTGCTGTTGTTAATGTTGTTGTTATTGACAATGATGATGTTGTTGTTGTTAATATTAGTATTGGTGTTGTTGCTGCAATTATTAACATTATTGTTGGTGTTGTGGTCATGGTGATTGGCATCTCTAACATGGTTAACATTGTTGTTGGTAGTAACATGGTTGTTGGTGGTGGTAACGTGGTTGTTATTGTTGTTATTGGGGGTGAGAGAATTATTAATTAGTTTAGATAACTGCTTGTGAGTCGGAAGTACTATTATACTTTGTAGCTGAACATTTAATTTTGGATTTTTTATTTTTATTAATATGGCTTCGGCTATCTTTGAGGTGAAATAATCGGAGTTTCTGAAAAGAACATTTGTGTTATTGTCAAGAATTGAACGTGTTAATGTTGTATTATGTGTTGTTTCTATATGAGATTTGATCGCATCCTCTCTTTTGTGCATGGTAAGTCGACGAGAAAGTTGAATGGTGGTCATTCCTATATATGAAGAAGTTTGGTGCACACAGTTATTTTAACACACTTTTGTGTTATTGTCAAGAATTGAACGTGTTAATGTTGTATTATGTGTTGTTTCTATATGAGATTTGATCGCACCCTCTCTTTTGTGCATGGTAAGTCGACGAGAAAGTTGAGTGGTGGTCATTCCTATATATGAAGAAGTTTGGTGCACACAGTTACCAATGGGACAGGAAAATTCATATATAAGATGATTATTTTTCATGATGGAATTGTTGTTGGGTTTACAGTTATTTTTGATTATCATGTGTGATGTTTTGGCGTTTTTATAATATATTCTTAACTTAACTTTGCAATTGGGATTGACGAGTTTGATATTGTTGTAAATTAGTTTTCTTAAAATGTTTTCATCTGTTTTATATGAAGTGGACATGATGTTGCGGTAATATAGAATAATATCTTTATCATTATTATTAATATTATTGTGAATGCTGTTGGTAGTATTGTTATTGTTGTTATTGGCGTTATTGTAGTAGGTGTTGTTTTGGTTACTATAGTTGTTGACCATGATGTTGTGATTAGTATCTGGATTATTGTTGTTATTATTGACTTCATCGTTGTTGTTGTTGACAATGCTTTCGTTATAATTATTAGTATTATGAATAATATTGTTATAGTCATTATTGTGATTATTGTTGAAATTATTGTTGTTGTTATCGTTATCAATATTAAGATTACTGTTATTGTTATTAATGATGTTATAGTTGGCAATGGAGTTATCATTATCAATAGAAATTTTATTGTTGTTGGTGATAATTTTGCTACTGGTAACTCTGTTGTAGTTATTATTATTGTTGTTACTGATATTTCTTAATTTAAATTTAATTACATTGTTAATATATGATAATTGATAACCATTATTAACAAGTAATTTTTTAATGTTATTCTTACCGCTTCTGGATGTATATATATATATATATATAAAATATATATATATATATATATATATATACATACATATATATTTTGGTAACAGACTGTTGTTAACGCAACTTTTCAAAAATTCAACACTACTTTCAACATTGTTCAACTTTTTTATATTTCTTTTTATTCTATTAATTTCAAAGAAATTAGACATTTTATTGTTTTTTTTAAATTTTTATTAAATAAATTTGCAAATAGCTATTTCGAGTTTTATAGATAACTCATCTTCAGTGCATTATATATAAGATATGTAAGATATTTGATAAGAATGAACAAGTAATTATTAATTTATATAAATTATTTAATTAAAACAGAAAACCAATAAAATAAATTTAATAACTATAGACAATATAAAACGCGATTTTAAAAATTTTTTTTAGCGGCAAGATTGTTTATATTATGGTTATTAAGGTAAATATCAACGCTCAGCCGAGAAGCGCGAATTAATTTATTTAGTTAACTACATATTATTAATATTATTTTTACAATATTTAAAAACATTATTATTATTATTATTAACGTTATTATTATTATTACCATCGCTGTGGTTCTTCTTGCTTCTTGTGATGATGTTCCATTTGCAAGTGATATTTGCGCTGTGGGTTGTGGCGTTGGTATCTACAGTGTTGGCACTGTTGTTGTTGTTATTGTTGATGCTGTTGTTGTTGTTGTTCATCAACAATAACATTCATTTATTCATCCGTTTAAATTTATCTTTGGCACACTTCCAAAGATTCTCAATGGCATTAGTATGCACTCCATTTGGAGCAACAAAACCATATCGATGATTGACAGTGTCGTGTGCCAGTCCCGTAACTCTGGGAATGTTCGCATAAGCGGCCCACTTGTCAGACCATATTGTCGTGCCTGAATGAGAATTAGATAAAATGTTAATATAGGAAAGGTTAATAGAAAATGTTAAAATCATTACCGGGCAAAACATGCCGTTGTATTATGGGCAGCAAAGTGGCCGCATCACGTTGAGCCACCTCTTCTAAGAAGACTTCTTTGGAAACATTATCTATGCCGCCAAAAACCCAACGTTGCCGAAATGGCCTGGCCTTTCCATTCCTTGTCCTTTTGTTACTGGACACCAGACTCTCATCAATCTGGACAATTCGACCAGGTCCACCAATTATTTTTGGGTTGTCTCGTACCCAATCGGTACAGAGTTGGCGATGGAGGTTGAACCAGTCAGGCAACGTGTTATTTTTTATCTATTTGTAGCAACGAAGCTGTCGCTGCCTGACTGATGTCCCCCATGCTCCAATAATATGTCAACTGAATGAACAAAATTATTATTGTTTTTCATTCTAAAATTTAATATTTATAAAATATAATTTAAGTTAAGAATAAAAAAATAATAACCATGATACATGTGCTCATTGGTAGCTTACATTTTTCATAAAAACTACCATTTCTAATGGACTTTGTTTTGCTGCAGGCCGTATGGTTTGTACAACGCCATATCTGTTCGTCTGCCGCTTTTTTGTAATTGTACAAACGCATAACTTTTCCACAAACGCATGTCATTCCGGACGACAGCAATCCCTGTTGCATTGCCCAGTCCACTGCTTTTTGTTTCAAATTTATGGCGTTTGTCAGTTCCATTGATGACAGACTTTTAACGGCCGGAAAGTTCATGACTACAGATAAATTCAAAATGCCGAAAAAATGACAGAAAAACCAGACGAAAAAATGACAGAAAAAACAGAAGAAAAAATGACAGAAACATGTAAACACATTAAATAAATCAGCATTTTCTTTTTAAAATAATTAACACAAGCCGTTTTTAAAATATTTATTATTGACAATTATTTTGAAATGAAAAACAAATTAAAATATCTATTATTGAGAATTAATTAAAAATTAATAAATGAAAATGATTGAAAAAAGATCTTTTCTTGTTCACGTCTTGTAATCTAATAAACATAAATATTAAAAAGGGGGAGGAGCTAAATGGCGCAAATTAAGCTGGATTTATTTTTAACTCTTTGTTTACTATTTTATGGAATTTCCAAGTGCCATATAAACCTTATAAATTAACCTAAAACTTCAAGGAATGTTGAAAACGAAATAAATTTTAACAAACGAGCTGAATGCAGATCGGCAAAGAGTCATTAACATAACTTCGGGAAAGCCAAGATTTTTCTAATTATATCTCAGATTTTTCTAAAAATAAACCAATATGCTCATGAATAATTAATTTTTTAGGAACTGGCTTCCAGAGGTAACTAGCCCGTTGAAAAAAATTTTCAATGTTAAAACGCTGGTACGGCGCTTCCAGTTATATAATTCTATGATTTCTCATAATTTCACCGGGTAACGTCACTAATGACTAATCACACGTACGCGTAATGTAAACGAAACCAAACGTAAAAAACGGTTCAAAATTCAAAGGCACATAAATTTATAATTTGAAATGTATATAGATAATACGGTTAAATGTTTAGTTTTAAGGTAGTAGTGGTATAGAATTTGTTTTTTTTGGATTTAAGTGATTTAACAATTTTGAAATTGTTTTATTGAATCTTTGATTCAATATTTAAAAAAATTGCAAGGCAAATTGATGGCTAGTTTATGCTATTATTATATTATGTTTTTATTAGACTTTGGTTTTTGAAATACTTTATTTTTAAGCTTAAGCTAGATTGATTTGATTCAATTTCAAAGCATATTTAATTTAAAAGCGCAGGTTAATATCTTGGAATTACAGATAATTTATTATATATTATTGTGGTATATATTTATTTGTTTTTGTAGGTAGTATAGATTTGGAATTTTTGGGTTTTGTATTAAGTTTCACATAATTGAATTTGTTTAAATCCAGGATTGAATGTATTCAATTCAGGGCCTCGTTTAACATTGTAACTGGGTGACAAAAATGCTACCCAGCGTTGATTTTTTTGTCACCTAGTAATGTTGATTTCGTGCCACTTTCGTGAAATTGACAGCAATTTTGTATTACAATTTAATTACGAGAAAATTGATTTTCAAAATTATAAAAGCTGGCCTCATACATTTATATATAAGCATAGAATTTGGAATTTTTGGGTTTTGTATTAAGTTTCACATAATTGAATTTGTTTAAATCCAGGATTGAATGTATTCAATTTTATTTTATTTATTTGGTTCCTTGTATTCAGAAATACATATATTTTAATTTAAAATTTAACTAACTTGATTACTGAAAGCCTATTGTGTATAATATTTAATTTATTGTTAATCAATTTCTGTAAAAAATTTGTGTTTTTTAAATGTGATAAATATCTTTAAATAGATTATAGACCTTTTTAAATATTTAATATTATTTCTGTATAGTAATGCCATTTAGATATTGATATTTTAAACTATTTAATTATTCCTAATTAGTAGAAGTTTAAAATTTGTGGGTTTTGTTTTAATTCCACAAAATTTGAATTTGTTTAAATCATGGATTGAATGAATTCAAAAAAAAAAAAGAATAAATTAACATAACACAATTATTAAAATTATATTACATATTTTTAAATTTTTTTAATTCTTTGCAGTAGCTTAGATTTACTTGTTTTGATTGTGATTTCAACTTTAAATTTAGCTAAACTGATTAAAAAAAAAAAATTTTTTTCTCAAAAATTTCCAACTAGTTTTATTTATATGGTTTATTGATTATAATATTATCGTTAATATTGTATTAATAAATTATAAAGTTTTTTTTTTATTTTTAAAAGACCAATTTCTTAGATCAATCAATTTGATAAATAAACAACTAGATTAAAGTTAAAAATTTTAACATTTGTAAGTTTCACATTTGAGTAAAGTTAGTGAATAATTTTTATAGATAAAATACCGCTTCTTGAAGACGAAACTTTAAATATTCAAATGTTGTTTTAATATTTATGATTTTAAAATAGACAGTTTTTAATTAATTAAATGTTTCGTTAAATTATTTTTTGCAGGAAGGTTTACGTTAAAAATGTCAGCAACTACTGCACAGAATGATATTGCAAAATCAAGCTCTCATTATCCTAAAAAACAAAAATAGACAGTTTTTTAACCATTCTATTGCAACAACAGTCCCTAATCAGAATGAACAATTTGACCCTGAGGATATCTTTTATGACACCACTTTACCTGATCACTCTTCATCAGTAACAAATAGTATCTCAGCAGCAAAATCAAAAGTACCTGTACAGGCAGAATGTGTTTCTCAAGTCACACATACATCGTTACCTTTTGATCAGATCATCTCCAAAGATTTTGCACCTTTTAGACAGTGGTACAAAGGCTTCAAACTTGATGCTGCTTGGCTACAGAAACACCATTCAGAACTGAAAGCAATAAAACTGGGTTCTCGTAAAAGTCTAAAATGCAAACTGTGCTACGATAACATTTCTGAAGCTAAAAAGTATGCTCGAAATGGTACTGTCCCAATAGCTGATGGTGTTCGGTGTGACGGCATGCAACAGCTTCAAAGAATTATTGATCACTTGAAAGGTGGTGCTCATAGTGCTGCACAACGGGCCGATCTTGCACGAAAGCAATGGACCGCACAATCTGACAAACATCCATGGGTAAAAATTTTGAAACAACACAATATTGAACTGATATCAACTCTTATTCGCCTTACAGTTGATGTACACAATGATTCAGGAACCAAAACGCTGTCAGCTTGGTCTTGGCCAAGTTGTTCACTAGCACAAATGCATGCAGAAAACCAAGTTAAGCAATACATTGATCACGGTCTTGATTGTGACTTTGTGGCGTTTAATTCACCCCAGTCAGCATTGCATTACAGAAATCCTGACCGGTACAGAGAGATATTATCATTTGTGTCCAAGCATGAATTGAGCAGAGTTATTCAAGCATTGAAAATTGCAGAGTGTGTCGCCCTAAAAATTGACAAATCTGTTGATAAATACAATGCTGACAGTCTGTTTGTTACTGCCAGATACATGGACAACACTAATTTTGAGATGAAAGCTAGTTTTCTTGGCGAATGCCACAGTGAGTTAAGAGGAGTAATTGGGATGGTCGATGCTTTGCAGAAACGTTTCCAGTATCTTGAAATTGAAGATGTCATTAAAGCAAAGATGGTGGGTCTTACGACAGATGAGGAAAATTCAAATACTGGACGTCACGGGGGGTTGTGGGTAAAGATGTCTGAGTATTTAGGGCACAACATGTTGACATTTTGGTGCATAGTTCACAGATCTGACCTGGCTTTTGAAAGCGATGAAAACGTGGTTCCGAAGTTTCGTCATTGGTTAACAGATGTAAAAAATGTCGCTACTTATTTTCGTGGATCAAGCTACCGACAAGAAAACCTGCATGAAATTGCTGCAAATTTGGGTGAGACTGCTAAACATTTTCCACGGCATCATGAAGTTCGTTTTGCGGAACACCTTGCCAATGTTGTACTTGCAGTTCTGTCTAATCATCAGATGATGTGCGCTCAAAGGAAGACAGTTGTACAACAAGGTGAAAATAATGAAAAAAATAATGAAAAGCAAAGAGCAAGAGGTTTTCTGAAGGATTGGTCCCAAACTTCATTCAACTTAAACATGAGTGCTGTTGCTTTGGATATCTTGCGACAGTTCACTGATTTACAAAAAGAAACTCAACGCACGTTTGTTACCTTGGCTGATTTGATGCAAAAACGCGACCACGTACTTCAGCGTCTTTCCATGATGGTAAACAGTCCATATCCTGGGGGATATGAAGAAAAGTTACAAAATAATAGTGGACTTGCATCTACACAGTCACTGCAAACGAAGCAAATGATAATCAATTTCAGAGAAATGTGAAAAACTTGTATGTTACAACACGCAATAGAAATTTTGAAGCAGTGCGTCTTGAGGTAATCACATGTGCAAAGAACTTCCTTGAGAGAAGGTTGGATGTCGATCAGGATTTACAAGTAAAGGCAATGATAGATGTTGCCAATGCTGAAAATGCTGAAGCAATGATCAAAGCCGGTCGGCAAATTGTATCAGATATTTTTGGTGATAATTATGTTTCAGAATTTGTAGATGATGCTGTTGGTTACTATTCATCATTTGGTGCTTCATCTTTTAAGCCGCATGAAAGCAATACTGCCAAGTTGTACTTATTGCTACAAAAAACAACACCGTCGTCTCTTTTAAACAAGCTGGTTCAAACATCTCTTATAACTTGCCCTCACAGCATGATCACGGAACGGGTAATTTCATGCCATGCAGAATTAAAAAGCGACCTTCGATCATCTATGTCGAGAAATACTGTGAATGACCGATTATGCATTGCTTTAAATGCTATAGGTACCGCAAATTTTGATCTTCGGCCAGTGGTGGCTGATTTTCTTTCTTCAAAAACGAGACGATCGACTCAACCAGATGATGAACTTTAAGTTTTTTAACACTGAAAATAACTTGTGATTAGCTAATTTAACATCAATTGTTTTTTTTGTGATACTGTGTCGTTAATAAAAAAAAGTCACTTATTTCAAATTGACAAAAGAGTTAGTGCATGTGCATTTTTAACGCATCAACATTTACATAAACAAAATCACGAACAATTTTTTATTGACAATTTAAATTAGACGTTTTGTCATTAGCCCATGCCTGGTTCAAATTAGCTTATTCCTTAGGCTTGTAATCTATGTTTTTACCGCAAGATTGAAGTATTGTATTCTTCCATGAAAAAAACTTTATTTTCATTAGAAAGTTGATGCAATATCTATTAGGCTCCCGTGATTTGAAAAGAATTGATACTATAATTATCATTTCCAAAACTTTTAAAACTTTGTCACCTAGTGAAAGTTTCTTAGACGAGGCTCTGATTTTAATCAATTTAAAAGTTTAAACAATATAATGTAAATAGTAAAATTCTATTTTTAAATATTCCAAACATTAAAAAATCTAGTTTAAATACAGTCATGTTGCAAACGATTTTCTGCGCAAATCATTCCGGGAAGTAAATTCTTTATATAAGTCCTCAATTGAAAGATTGTCGGCGCGTTCTTTATAGCATTGTACTATGGCCAAATGGTTTAATCTTAGCTAACTGATTGTTGAACGTAAATAAGTTTTCAAACGCCGAAGGACGGAAAACGATCTTTTTGAGCTGCATGTTGTCACTGGAATTGTAAGAAATATTTTAATAAGTCGAAAAAGTTCTTCTAGCATTTCATACAAACGTGTCCGTTTATATCTTTTAAAATGTCTGTGACTGGTAATAGATAAATTTTGTTGCTTATAAATATCGCGAAACATGTTGAAATGTGAATGTAATCTGTCTTTTGACACCTCTGGATATAATTCAGCAATATAATTTAAGTGACTGCTGTCAGTTGTTGCTGCATGTAAAAATTTTGATTCAAAATCGGCAAATTTTTTGTAACCGTCAGAATTGAATCTAGCGTCAAGTGAAAAGAGAGCGGCATGTACGATCTCTAAATACATTTTTTTAAATAATTGCGAAGAGTCAAATGCACGAACGTTTTCGTTACCATCAGTAAAACGCTTCCGACGATTTCGTTGCCGTGGCAATCTTCAATATTTAATAATTTTGCATCATTAGTGGTATTTAACCTAAAAAAAAGGTTTCATCGGATCGGTTCTGTTAAAGCGATAGCATTAGACTTTCTACGAGTTTGCGTACTTTTGACATAGACAGTGTTGGACACTGCAAAACTTTCGACTTAGTTTCCAATTTATCGTATATGAGAACCAAACGGCGCAACACGAAATAATTATGAAATGATGTAATTTTTGTGAGAAAACCAGCACATTTGGCGCTATATTCATTTCTGACAGAACTTTGATTTTCAAAAAAGTTTAGCAAAAATGTCCAGTTGTTTAAAGCGCTCCTGATGCATATATGCATAGTCCACCTTGTTGGACACAATGGGCGTAATGATGTAATTGTAGCATTACTTTGTTGAAAAAAGGAAAAACAAGCTAAACGTTTAGGAGATTTTTTGATAAAGTTACAAGTTCTTTTACAAAATGGATTGCATCTCTGCACTCTAACATCATAGAAATTGCATCTTGAAATGCCAAACTAATGTTGTGGTTGTTGCAATTGACAAATATTGCAGACGGCTATATTTCTAAGATTTTGACCTGTACTCCATTATAAATTCCAGAAACGTTAGATGCTCCGTCATAACATTGTCCTCGACAATCTCTGATATCAAAATTGAACCTTTATAAAACATCCTTCAAAATTTTGAACAATGTACCAGCATCTGTGGCGTCCGTGTTATAAAATCCTAAGAAATATTCTTCTGAAATAAATTCATTATCAACAACTCTTAAGCAAATGCTGACTTGTTCTTTAATTGCAATGTCACAAGTTTCGTCTAAAAGTATGGCTTTAATAATAATACTTTTTCAAATAAATATCACTTATAACAGACCTGAGAACATGGTGTGACATAATTTCCAACAATTCATTTTGAATATCTTTTGAAGTTTATTGATATGATGTATGTTCAAGCCACTGCTGTAATTCAGGACTATCTTCTGCAGGAAGACGTAAAAGACAGTAAAAATTCGAAACATCGTCGTCATGAGAGAGTATAGCGATATTTTGAACAAAGACATTTTTTAAAAATATTAATTTTCAAATATTGAGGGGGCTCAAGATAGGCTTGAGCCAGAATGGTTAAATATTGGGGGGCTCGAGCCCGAAAGTCGCCGCTAGTGGGTGTATCTGATCCTTGTTTTACCCAGCTTTGGGTGTTTGCCTTTTAATTTCATAGGTGGAGCAGCTAGATAAGGTTTGATAGCTTCAGGATTAAATATTGCATGTTTCATTGAACTTATATGCCCCCTCTGCGTTTAATGGCTTTTTAATAAGAATCTCAACGCTGCGTAGTTTTTGTACTCGTGTTTATTTAAAGTTTCCATAAGTTTGTTGGCTGACAGCGCTGTTTCGGCTAAGTAGCACTATCAAAGCCAAATTTTATACTGTGAATAATTTAGAAGTATTAAAATCAATGAAGGAAGAATTAATATCGAAATAAAATTGAAATTAAAATTATATTCAATATTAATATTAGTGTAAAAAGATTTAAAATTTTGTGGAACGTACCTTTAAAACATGAAAAGCGTAAATTAGGAATTAAATAATTAAACAAATAAAATTTATTGCCTAATAAAATTTTGAATATAATAAAATACATTAAATCGTTGAGTATGTTGAAATATAGTTAAAACAAGCGAATTGTAGCGAAGTGAAATTTAAATGTCAACAAGTTTTATGAAATATTGAAACCGAAGAAAGGAGTGTGTACAGAAGGAAGTTGCTTGATAAAACGAATATTGCGTCTATATCATGTTATATTGTTGTCAGAAGTGCATTAATTAAATAGATATAGCGTGAATATACATACATATGCATAACAATTGTCAATTATGATATCTGCATATATATGTGAGCCCACAGTAAGGCTAACCATCGGAATCAAGGAATCAAACAATATGACCAACGATATCACGACGGTAGACGGTGGTGTACGCGTCACCCCGCTAGCCTGATGCAGACCAGTTTTATCAAATCTCGGCAGGTTTTATCAAATGTCGTTGTGTTGTGCCGCCACCAGTACGGTTCATATTCGTTCGCAGTGGGGAGACATGATATTGAGAAAACAGCTGGAGGTCGAAGCTGATGATTTGTTTGTTGAGAGTTGGCTTGTTTTTGTATATGTACAGAGCTTCTTTTATTTTTAGCCTGATTGGATGGGGTTCATACGCGATGACCATAGTACCAACCACCAGTGTAGCGCACGTAAGAAGTTGGCAATGTTCAGTCAACACGTGGTCTTTAATTGAGCCATTCAGAAAATGCACTGAGTCTTCTTGAGAGAGTCGTTCGAGTGTGACCAATATAAGTATCCACAACACAGTGAGGCAGAGAGCATGTGAACTGGTAGACTACGAACTCTCATTACAATTAAAGTTTATATAAGTTTCAAGAGTATCATTTGATTGGAAACAAATATTTTCCTCCAATGTGAAAGTTTCAATATTACCATAACAGATGAGGTTGAATTCAATAAAACTAAACAGTTCGATTGGCTTGACGATCCACTCGGTTTGCATGCACTATCTACATGTGAATGGGCTTGACCTGAAGACTCTACATTATTGACACTAGAAATTTTCAAGTTATCACAAAATTACCAAATTTTTTCACATAACTTCATAGTGTAGTTTTTTCCATCCCAAATAGTTTTGCCACTTTTCTCACTCCGTCTCTATTTTTTACCATCCTAACTGATTTACTCACAAATCTTTCAAAACTATATTAACCTCTCTTAGTTTTTCTGTTGTGAGATCTTGGCATGTTTGAAACAATAATACATTAAATGAATGTTTAACTTAAAATGAATAATGCAATAATTAATGAAATAATAAATAAATTTATATTTTTTTACTGTTCATATAACCTTAGTACTTAGTTTTTCTTTTGAACCATTGTTCAATTCAATAAATCTTACAAATTTAGTTAAGTTGAGGACTCACTCTAGGTAAAAGATTTGGATTGGTTTTTAAAATTTTTTAAGCGGTTGATTATTTAAGATTTAAGAGTAAGCTCTAAAATACTAGCAATAATCTAACCTAGTTAAAATTAGGTCTCTGGATGCAAAACGAAGATTGATAACCTAGTTGAAATTAAAAACATTGCTTTTTTGGTATCCTTTTCATGATTTTTTTGAATTATGAATAAACCTGTTTTTAAAAAAATACAAATAAAAGAAAACTAGCACAATAACAAAAAAATTATGTTTGTCCATCTAATTACCCCGATAAAAGGATAAATGATATAGATTTTCCGCAAATTACTTTGTCAAAGCAAAATAATTAGTGACTTATCACTTACAAACTCCACCACTGTGGCTGCAATCCAGCAGAGTTTGGTGCCGGTCCTATGTCCGGGTAAAGGAGGAGGGTTGACAGGAGCTTGCTACACTGTTTTAAAAACGCTACAAACACGATGGTAAACACAACAAATAAACATACCGGCTCGGTCGTCGCCCGGGACAACATGAACCGTATTACTGAGTCCCAAAGAGGTAAAATGAAGATGAAATTCACAGTTAGAATTTGGAATGTGAGGTCATTATGGCAAGCTGGAACATATGCGATGCTGAAAAAAGAGCTTGAGAGGTTTAGATATGATGTGATTGGTTTGTGTGAAGTTTGATGGACAGGAAGTAGAGAATTGGAGAACGGAAAACAGAAACGGGTCAAGCACAGAAACCGAGCATATTCATGGAGTGGGAATGATTCCTAGAGAGAAAGCAAGAAGAGCATTAATTGAATACAATTCGGTAAATGACAGGTATGTCAGATTCGAAGGATATCTAAGAGATATTATTGTGACAGTTGCTTATGCTCCAACAACAAATCATTTGGATGATGAAGTTGAAACGTTCTACGAACAAACATTGAAAGCATTACCAGAGAAAGATGTCAAGATCATTGTTGGGGACTGGAATGCTAAAATTGGAAATGACAACATTGGATTTGAAAAAGTAATGGAAAAATACGGTGTAGGAGATAGAAATGATTGAGGGGAACGGTTATTAGAGTTTGTGAAGGACCAACGATTGTATGTCACAAACACAAAAAGGCAAAACAACAACAAATGTACACGGGAGTCACCAGACGGAAAAACAATGAACAAGATATATTTAATACTGAAAGAACAGAAATGGACGAAATTTATCCCCGTATGTAGAGCTTTCCAAAGTGCAGAAATTGGATCAGATCATTGCTTTGTCTTATGCAACGTCACCATGAAGATAAAACAAAAACTTAAAATGGGAGAAAGCATTAGGTAAGTGAGATACAACACAGAAATGATAAAGCAGAAAATGGATGATATAAAAAATATAATCGAACATGAATTAGACTCAGCATCCAATTACAATATGAAAACAAGAGTTGGAAACCTATAAAAAATTCTCAAAGCTCAGCAGGTGAAAGTTGTAAAATTAAAACAAACAAAATAAAACCGTGGATAAGCGATGAAACATGGAACCTTGTAGAAGAAAGAAGAAGTTTTAAAATGACAAAAAACAGATTGAAGAAAATAAGATGAAATATAAAAAAAAGTCTGCTGAAAAATAATAGAGTGCTAGAGCAGATTAAAGGAGATAAATTAATGGTAAATGTGAAAAGGTAGAGACGATGATTGGGCAAAACAAGACAAAAGAAGCGTACCAGCTGGTTAAACAGTTAAAAAGAAAACAGAAAAATATATCAAGGATTATTAAAGATAAAAACGTAAACATCCTAACAAAAAGTGAAAAGATTAAGGATAGATGGACTGAATACATTAATGACTTGTTCTCAGACAAAAACACATACAAAAAAGAAACGCTTGAAATTTTGAAAAGTAGAAAAATAATCAATGAAGAAGAAAGTGAAATAACGAGGAAAAAAATTACAAGAGCAACGAGTAAAATGAAAAACAACAAAAGTACAGGGAAGGATGGTATTCCGATAGAACTGATAAGAGCAGAAGGACAAGTCGAGTGTAAAGAAATTCACACAATCTGTCAAGAAATTTGGGAAAGTGGAAAGTCGCCAAAAGAATGGTGCAAGTCAGTTCTGATTATGCTGCCAAAAAAGGAAGACCAAAAGACTGTAATAATTTCAGATCAATTGCACTAATTCCGTACATATGCAAGACCATGCTGACCATCATAAAAGAACGACTGGAAAAGGTCATAGGGCAACATCTGCATGAAAAACAAGCAGGCTTCAGAAAAAACAGAAAGACGATTCAACAAAATCTGATGTTGAGACTGCTGATGGAAGATGCAAAAAATAGTGGTAAGACAATCTACCATTGCTTTGTTGATTTTAAGAAAGCGTTTGATTCTTTCTGGCATGAAGGTTTGTGGGCAACATTAGAAAGTATGGAAACATCAGAAAAGCTGGTAAAAGTACTGAAATGGCTTTATGAAAAATCAAAAATGTCGGTAATAATAGGTACAGAACTTGGAGATTGGATAAAGGTAGACATTGGAAGCGGACAGGGCGATCCAATATCACCAATACTATTTATAGCAATGTTAGAAAGAACAATGAAAGATGTTGGTGGAAAAGATCACGGTTGCATCTCAGCAAAGACAAAACGAAGGTGATGCTTACGGGGAAAGGCAGAAACAATGCGGAATTTCAGGTAGAATCAAAAAAACTCGAACAAGTGGACCGGTTGTGTATCTTGGCAGTCTTATAACCTGTGACAACAACTGCACAAAAGAAATTGACAAAAGGATAGCAATAGCCCATGGAATGTTCGCATCACTGAAGGAAATATAGAAAAGTGGAAATATATCTCTAAAAACAAAGTTGAGGATAATAGAATTTTGCGTTTTTCCGAGCTTGCTCTATGCATGTGGGACATGGACAATAAAGAAAAGGGACAAAGACAGATTGAAAGCATTTGAGATGAAATGTTACCGAAATTTGTTGGGAATTAGTTGGAGGCAGAAAGTAAAAAACGAAATCATCAGAAATCAACTTGGAAGACAGAAAAGTGTATATGACAAAGTCATAGAAAGAAAATTGGAATTTTTTGGACACATTTGTAGAATGAGGGAAGACAGATTGATTAAGATGGTTCCAATGAAGAAGAGATTGGAAGAAAAAAGTTGATAGACTTGCAAAGAAATGGATAGATGACATTACTGAATGGACTGGTGTTGGTATTCTCAATTCAATAAAACTGGCCAAAGATAGAAAAGGTTTTTAAAAAAAAATAATAAAGAAATGTAAAAAGCATGCTTAGATGTACACCATTGGCCTTGACGGTCCCCTGATAGACAAAGGGGGATCATTGATTGATTGATTGATATCACTTACAGATCTTTAGTTTTTTAAATCGTAAGATATTTCACTGCATAAATTGAATTACTATAAGTCTGCATTTGGTAGTAAAAGTGATGCTGCTTAACACATGCATAGCTTTTAAGCTGATAAGTGCGGGTTGGCATTTTGAACATTTTTTAACTGCCTGGAGATTGTTTTAGATTCAGAAAGAATTTTTGTTTATTTTTTGGTTATGCTGGGGTGCACTGGCTATGAGGCGCGTCCCCAGGTGGGGAATAGGGGAAAATCCTGGGCAGGGAGACATTCTAGGATTGCATCGAATAATACGAAATAAGATGCCGTGAACCAACTGTACTAGAAGAAAGAAGACAACGGTGAAAAAAGCGGAGGATCCTAGAACAATGGCCCCAACAGCAGATGATCTTCTATTCTAAATCCACTGCCTTGTGGAACAGGGTCCTTTGGCCCAAAAGCTAGGTGCATTGCTTACAATAGTGCTCTCTTGGGCACGAGATAAACTGCAACCGCGTTGCCTTGTGTGCTTCCAGGAAAAAGGCTAGGCCCACTGCTTATAACTGGTTTATAACTTGAAATAAGTGTTCAACAAGGAGAGTTCATGGCCTTCAGCAAATTTTAAAATCCGTACACCGTCTTCGTTTTGAAACTCGTAGCCAAAGCCTCCATGGACACCGTAGAACCCATTTGCTTTATTTCAAACATGGGCATTGTGGTCGCCACCTATCAATGGTATTTCTGATGATGGTGTTTTCCTGAGGCATCTGAGAGTGTGTTTCAGAAATGATTTTTGACGTCATTAGATTCACCGGTCTGTGGTGCATTTGCAGAGAAATTGTTTATAATTGGGCAATTCCAGATATAAACATTTTTTGACCCAAACACGCAACAGTGGAGGGATGTTGCGGAAAACCAGGCGTCCTCTCCTAGAATATCAGACTTGGCACTTTAAATAATGGATTGCTTACTGGAGGCTCCATGGAGATTGTCGTCATGCTAGAAAAGCGAATGGTTGACATCTGTTTTCTGCATGAAACAAGATGGAAAACAAATGGTGTCTCTCTCATTGGAAGTTACAAGTTGTTTTGGAATGGCCAAAAGACAGTCCAAAATGGAGTAAGAATCTTCATACGGGAATCTCTGGCACAGAATGTACTAGAGGTGGTTCGAATCAGCTCACGCCTAATGCTGATTTAACTCAGAATGGGAAAACAGATTCTGACTGTTTTCTCTGCAAATGCACCGCAGACCGGTGAATCTGAAGACGCCAAAAATGATTTCTGGAACAAACTCTCAAATGCCGTCAAGAAAACACCATCACCAAAGATACCATTGATATGTGGCGACCTCAATGCCTATAATGCCTATGTTTGAGATCAAACAAATGGGTTCCACGATATCCATGGAGGCTTTGGCTATGGGTCTTAAAACGAAGACGGTGTAATGATTCTAGAATTTGCTCAAAGTCATGAACTCTCCTTGTTGAACACTTATTTCAGAAAGAGGGCAGAACAATTGATCACATATAAAAGCGGGATGTCATGCACACAAATTGATTTTATTGTCAACAGACAGCAACACAGGCGACTAATCAGGAAAACAAAAGTCATTCCAGGCAAAACATCCATCCCTCAGCATCGATTGTTGGTGGCAAATATGATCATGGAATGATCACGCCCTGTGACTAATCGAATGCCTACTAGAAGACATAGTAACTGAAGAAACCCATGTTCGGAAAAAAATTCGAGGAGTTGGTATCGGCACAGCTTGATCGTCTGGAGAAGGTAGTCAAATGTGCCAATTTATAAAGGAAAAGAAGTAAATGATAATGATAATAATAATGATAATGTTGACTTATAAAACGCCCTGGCAAGCGACTGAGGCGCCCTCGAAACAAAAAAAAAATCCTCTGTATGTCGTATATCTCTTAACCTAATTTTTTATCTAGGACTAATTCAAGTGTCTTTAGTGTAACAGATATCGGGGCTAGGGTGTCTCTTAGTTGGACTGATGTTAAGTTATATACATTATTTATCGAGTAGAAAGACCCCAGTGTTATTGGAGTTGAATTGTAGATAGTTATGTAGAAACCATTTTTCCATTGATGCGATGCATGTGCTAAGGATGTTGATGTTTGAAGGAAGATCTTTAATGTTTGATAATATATAGAGTTGAGTATCATCTGCATATTGATGGTAACGTGTGCCATAATTTTCAATGATCCTGCCGATGGGTGAAATATAAGCTGTAAATAAAAGTGGTTTAAGTAGAGACCCCTGAAGGACACCATGAACAGATGGACTGTTGAAGATGAGTGTGTGGAAATTTTGACAAATTGACTGCGACCAGTTTGGAGTTTAATACATGGCAAAGCAAAAACGATTGTTTTATGTCTTTGTGGACTTGGAAAAGGCTTTTCACAGAGTGCCTCGTTAGGCAATTATGTGGACACTAAATTCCACTTCCATATCATGACTGATGGTGTCGAAGGCAGCTGACAGGTCCAGTCGAGCAAGAATTGTGGTTTCTTTATTGTTGCATGAATTAAATACACGAAAGAAGACTGTTGTCGTGCGTTTCAATAGGTGGTTACCAGTACAGCTTCATAGCAGGAAGATCAACCATTGATGCTGTCTATATCATTCATCAACTACAGGACAAATACATGGCAAAGCAAAAACGATTGTTTTATGCCTTTGTGGACTTGGAAAAAGCTTTTCACAGAGTGCCTCGTTAGGCAATATGTGGAGTCTACGTAGACAGCTTGTTCCCAAATATCCGGTTTGGCTGGTTATGGCTACGTACTCTAACACAAAAACTTTGGTCAGCACAACAGCCGGTAACACGAATGAATTTGATATTAACGTCGGCGTCCATCAGGAATCAATACTCAGCCTCCTGCTTTTCATCACGATGATGGAAGAAATAAAACCAAACCAAACCGATACGCTCAGATGACATATAGAATGTGATATATGCAGATGATATCGTCCTTACCGTGGCGTCGGAACAAGACGCAGCCAGAAAGTTTGAGGTCTAGAATACCCAGCTTGCCAACTACGGGCTAAAGGTAAACCTTGACAAAACAAAAACTTTTGATCGCCGGTGATACCGTTGAGCCTGTGGTCTCTGGTCATGTTCGGTGAGTGGGGCTGGAGTTGGAAGCAACTCGATCAAATGCCTACGATTTAGGCAGTAGTTTCACAAACGATGCTCGAAAATTACAGGCTCACTGAGAAAAGTGACTGATTTCGTATGCCCCGCCTGCATCAACCGCAACAACGGAACCCAGATAATGATACGATTTCCGGGATCGAAACTGTTATTTCATTTCAGTATTTAGGAGATATGCTGGATTGTACTGGAACAGCTGATGCCGTCGTTTGTGGATGCATACGTGCGGCGTGGGGCAAATGGCACCTCCTTGCCTTGGTACTAATGCGGCGTAGCATTCCTTTGCCGCTGCGCTCAGAGCTATACAACACAGCTTTGCGTTCTGTTCTGATGTATGGCGCAGAGACGTGGCCGATGACAACAAAACTCGAACAGCAGCTTCACCGAACTGACATGAAGACGATTTGTTGGATGCAGCATGTTGACCTAAGGGACCATATCCATACAACCGAGATCCTGAACCGATCGGGACTGTGCACGTTGAAGGATGCATATTTTGGCCATGTGAAGCGAATCGAAAACGATACAATAATTTCCGTTACTGAGCATAAGGTGCTTGGTACCCGCCGAAGAGGTCGCCTAAAAAAGTCCATGACGCAGATCATACAGGGGGACTTGAAGGCACTTGGTCTCAAGAAGATAGACGCAATGGATAGATCGGCTTGGAAACAGAAACTGATGAATGGAATAAAAAAGTCCGACCCATAACGGATAGAGACTATGAAGGAGGATTGATATAACCTAAGTAAAAACTAATGAACACATAATAAATAGTGATTCAATTATTTAGGTTTGAATGAGGCCTAATCCAGAGAATTGAATCCTTTGAATGATTGTCTCAACCACTCCTAAGGCCTTATTGAAGTAAGCTATTGAAAAACGTTTACGTTTTCATAACGTTTTCAATTTCGCTCTTTAGTAACTATATTATATATGAATATTCGCAACAAAAAAAGAATATTTTATTGAATAAACGTATTATAAAATGAATAAAGTATTCACCTAAATTGAAATTTCGGAGTCCGAAGACCAACTTTTAATTCTCACAATTACAAATAACTTACTTCTGTATGCGTCGGTCACTAGCAAATATATTTGTGACAGAGTTCGTTGCAACGTCTGCATAGAATAGAGCCAGTCTGTCCAAATGAACAATCTTCATTCTCGCCCGCGGCTTTTTTGCTATGACATATTGGAATTCTTCGTCTGCAAATTGCGTGCTTGCCAGTTCTTCCGGTGTTCATCCTGTATCTGCCGTTTTTGTAATTTTTTGTACATCTTCTGTTTGTACTTTCTCTTTCAGTCGACTGCAGTATTTGCAACCTGGTAAACAAAGTCGAGGAGAAAAAGTCTCGGCATTGTTGTGGGAGGTTCCTCTACGGTGCATAATTTAAAAGTCGTACATTTGTAATCGTTCCAACCATCGTGCCACCTGTTCTTCTAGATCTTTGAAATTGAGCAACAATTTTAACGCTGCATGATCTGTTCGAGAAAGAAATTTTTGTCCGATGAAATACTTGTGGAAATGTTTTGTTGCCATGACCATCGCTAGCAACTCTTTTTTTGTTACGCAGTAGTTACGTTTAGGCTTTGTAAGATTTTGCTGTAATAGGCCAAAATCTTTTCTTCTCCGTCAACAATTTGTTACGAAACCGCTCCAATTCCAGTTACTTGCATCCGTATCTAGCACAAATGGTTTACCTCTGATTGGAAATGCTAACAAGGGGGCTACACAAAATTCTCTTTTCAGTCATTCAAATGCTGCTTCAAACGACTCATTCCAATTAAATGCTCGATCATTTTCCGTGAGTCGTGCAACGTCTCCAATGCAGTTTCTTCTTTGTGGTGTAGGTCGTACATGGGGTATGACAGCAGAGTCAACCGTTCAATATCTTGTGCCATCTGCTTTATTGACTCTCCAGGTCACTGCTTCCGGTTTCGTAACTGTGACTGATATATTTATTTCATTTGCTCTTCATCGTAACGTAAATTCGACGCATCAAGGACATCATAGCTAGAATGGTTCTCAACTGGAATCGTTTGGAGAACTTCTGCCACTGACCCTCGTAACGCTACCACAAAAGCCGTTGCTCTCTTTCATTCCAGCCATAATTCATTGCTTCTGCCTCAAACTAGGCTTTATAAATGTTCCAAAAAGTTTCTCCGTCAAATGCTGGCGCTTTCAATGTCTTCGCGGTCACGTGGCTTTGTGAAGTTTATTTTCTTAGTTACTTCCACATCTTCTTTAAGTTTATCCATTTCGCAGGATAACTTCTGCTCGAGCCCGATAACCTTTTGATCGATTTTGTTCAATTTTAGACGAGATGTCTTCCATTCTCGTCATCTGATTTTCTATTTTTGCTTTGATTACGGTCGATTGCTGTTCAGCTTTGACTTCGAATTGTTTTTTGAGTTCTCTCAACTGTTGTATTATTTTAGCATCAATCGCGACCGACTGTTGTTTGATTTTTGCGTCAATTTGTTCTCTCCTCTGTTTTATTTCTGCTGATTGATGTTCAATTTTTGTTGATTGTTGTTCAATTTTTGTATCAACTTTTTCTCTCATCTGTTTTATTTCTATTGAAATCGTTCGTAGTGCCATCAATTCCGTGCTTGCCCCAGCGTTTACGACAGCCTTCGATTCAACATCCTGATCGTCAAGCTAAAATTCATCTGGATTCTCAAGTTCAAGGGCTCCCGCTAGGCGTGCTATCAATGCTCCTCTGTTTCCACTTGTAGCAAGATTTTGTTGTTGTAACTCTTTTTTGAGTTGCACCAATTTAAGTTGATGTAGTTTTGTCGTGTTGTTTTCACAAAATAACTTGTCAACAAAAAAAATAAAATTTTCAACAACGATGCTTACTCATTTTCTACGGAAGATCCCACTTTTGACACCAATGTTATAACCTTCCCGGTCGATGACGAGTTTATTTTATCCCAGTGGAAAATAAAAACAATATAACTTCCAAATTATAGATTTAATTATTTACAAAACAATAATTAATCAATCAATAATCAACGTCAATTAATTTCACTAATAAAAGTTAATGTTCACAAACTATCAAATTAACGTTCAGAAACTATTGATTTCAGAATAATAATCAAATAACGTTTATCGCAAATACAATAAAAATACAACGCAGAGTTAAATCTAAAATGATGTTTTTGACCCGTTTTACCGGCGCCTCACGACCGTCCTAGATATTTCGCTGTCAGAAGGTTCTAGTTCCTACACGAAATGTATGCGTTCGTAACAACACTAGCATCTCTAGCGGATATATTTGTGACGATTATACAATATTATATCGTGTTTTTTAACTTTTAACAATTATTAACATGTTTTGCCTCGTCACTAATTATCTCCCACAACTTCACAAATGATTCAATAAAATACACAAGCCAGCAACTACTTGATCTACAACCCTTCTAATTTTTAGAGATGTTGAAGTTGTTGTAGAGTGATGTAGCGATGGAGGTGAAGAAGAAAGGTTTTGATGCTGGTGATGGTTAGGGTTCCAGTCGAGTTTAGCGTAGTTTTACTCTATGCAGACGGCTTTACATTTCCATAGAGCTTACAGACTCACCTAATGCATCCATTGCCGAATATACAAAATTAACATTATATAAAAAATTAAAATATAAAATATTCATATTAATTGAAATTGAGGCTTGAAAATATTTTAAAAATATAAAAACAACCTCTGACTGTATTGCATATCTGGGTCAAGATCAACAATTTTGGCGCTTTACAAAACACATTTTTTCTTAAAATTTTTAACTTTTCCTTTAGTTTAGTCATTAGTGTCATGCTTCATTGGATTGTAGTTTTTTTTTTAAACTTTTTATCACTTCAACCGCTTTTTCAGCATTCACAAATCCATCTCCCAACTTGAACGACTCGGAATCCATTTTCTTAAATTAGAGTAATAAAGTAACAAAATAAATTAAATCAAACAAAACAATCAAAATCAAACGAATCTTCAAAAGCCTCGCCGCTCACAACCGAGGGAAGAAAAATGAACTCTCGCTAAAGATAATAAATATTAGTGTTACGATGCGCAAATAAAAATTTATTTAAAAAAATTTATTTTCAATTGTAAGTAACGGAAACTTTTACAAATACTTGTTAAAATAATATTCGGCATAAAAAAATGTTTTCAACGTATTTTTTCGTTCGCACGCCTTATAGCAGTCTAACAAGTTCACGGTCTCGCACGCCCGAAAGATTTATCGTTTTTTGAAATTTATCTGTCTATCATTTTGTCTTTTTCCTTGTTCCCTAGTTCATCAATTTTTGATTCAAGTTGTAAAATTCTTTTTTTCAACGCCAAGTTTTCGCATGTTACGAGCGATGATTTGGAATCCAAATCGTCCGTTTCCGATTCTAATCGTACATTTCTTTTTTTCAGATTTGAAATCTCGTTTTCCAAGATTTTTACTTTCTTCACAAGTGTTCCAAAAACCTTTTTTTTCACTCTTCAAAATCGCTTTTCGGTGCCATCTTTAAAGATTTAGTAGCAAAAATTTAACTTTTTACAACAAAAATTTGAAAATAAAATCGAAATTTTAATTGATTTAAAAATATTATGTTTACATAAACACAAATTCACACACATTAATATTATTAAAATTACGATGCGCTAACCAAATTAAAAAAAACTATTTATAAAAATTTATTTTCAATTGTGAGTAACGGAAATTTTTCCAAATACTTTTCAAAATAATATTCGGCATAAAAATATGGTTTGAACATATTTTTTCGTTCGCACGGCTTATAGCAGATTAACAAACTCATGGTCGGCTTGCGAATTTGCATGCTCGATAGATTTACGTTAAAGGTTAAATTTAGAGATTAATTTTCCAATTAAAACAAAATAAAATTAACGGTTATGTTCAATGTTTTTTTTCAAAACATTAACAATATGTTTATAAACAATAAGCGATACAAATTCAATTAAATTAAAATTGTTATTGTTATTGCTAATTTTCGGCGTATCAGCACAGAAAGGCTATCTTCACGCCTATTTCTTTTCTTATCTGAGTTTATACTTGAATGTAGTCGTTTTCATTTATTTATATATTTTATCAATTAGATTTATTTCTTTTAAATAATTTATTAAATTTTCTATATTAATTGGGTCTTCAAATATTTCTTGCATGTTGGTCTGGATATTATGGATTTTCCTACTTATTTGATATTTTTGACAATCTATGATGACGTGCTGAATGGTTATTCTTGTACCGCATGTATTACAACGTGGAGGTGAAGATTTTGTGTATATCCATGAGTGAGTTAATGCTGTATGCCCAATTCTAATTCTATTTAACAACATTTGATACTTTCTCTCCAGATGTGATAATATTCGATTTGGCTTGTTCACTTTGGGTGTTGATATTTTTAGAAAGTTATTGACCTGGTTCCAATTTTTTTGCCATAAAGATATAATGTATTGATGTATGATAGGTTTCATATCGGAGATTGGTATAGGCAGGTAATTAAAATGATTTAAACAAAAATTGTATTGTTTATTTTAGCGTGAATTTTACCGCAAAGAACTTTGCCCACTTCTGATATAGTTAATACATATTTATTTTTTCAACCAATTATTCATTTTTTTTAAATAATATGCAAATGCGTTTAGCCAACCAATACGACTCCCACATTTGTGACAGATTTATTTTTGAGAACACAGTACATAAAAGTTCAACTTATTTGTGAGAACTTTTAGCGTTTAATCGCTATTTCTATAAAGAACTTCTACATGATTTATATTAATAATAATCTTTTTATTTTTCAATAAACATTTACTTTTTTTTGAAATATGTAATTGGTTTTGGGTTTCAATTAAGGACCAAATTTAAATCTGTTTATTTCTAGGTGTCATTAATTTTATTGTATTGTGGAAAGGTTCTGTTGCTCAGAAAAATTAAAAAATTGTCCCATAAAATTTTATAGAAATTGACTTAAATAAAAATGTTAATTTTAAACACTATGCAATCTTTGATCAGAAATGAATATGCTCGATTTTTTTTTACAAAATTTTTTCAAGTGCACCGTATATACCTATATACAAAACGAACTTCACTAGTTATTAGCAAAAAAAAAAATTGAATTTAAAATCGCGCTCATAGCCAGAAATTGTTTGGCGAAAAACGTACTAGAATCTAAAAAATCTATAAATTCTGTGTCTGATATTTCTTATCAAGCTCGGTTGAGGTTAGCAAATCATGGTGACTTTGTTTGTCCTTTTTATAAGACATCTCACTTTAGACCAATGACGTTTTTCAGTTCCGTCTGCCAAAGTGTGGACCTAATTACTGCTGATTTAAATAATGTTACCGGTATTTGCTGCGATGTTTTCAAAAGCCGATGAAAGCAAAATGCAACATAGACAGCGGTTCTAAAGATAATTGATTGAGTCGCTTATACAATCTTCTTCAATTCTGTAAATCTTCAATTCTTCTTCTTCTGTAAATCTTCTTCAATTTCATTATATACAATAAAATCAATACATTTTCGCGTTTTTTGCATTGTAATCACTAACTTGACAGTGAGCCCAAGACAATTTTTTTTATGTTTATATGATCCAAGTCAATTTAAAATTTTTTTTTATAATATTTGATCGGTTTTAGACAGCAACTTGAGTTTGATTTTTAAACGATTTCTTTAAGACTAAAACGGTTTGACAATGGAACATCGCTATGTTAAGCAAAATTTATGAAAACAACGTAAAAATTTCTTTATTATCTTGTTTCTTTCATTCAAACAGGTTCGTCTTTTTATCACTACAAAATGAGCCGACAAAGCTCGCCAGCGCATGCGGGACCGAAAAACTTATAATCAAAAATATTTTTTTGGTAAAAATTCGTTGCTGAAGATTCGTTGAGAACGTTTCTATCGTCAGTCAGTCGATTTGTTTTTTTGATCGTTACTTGTGTTTGCATGTCAAGTTAGTAAGTTGATTTTCTAGATTTTTTTCACGCATACCTATACCATAATTCAAGTCCGTGTAAAATTTGCTCAGATAGTAATATGGCAAAAGTATACTTTTCTGCCTAACTATGCAATTTTGTGAGATAGATATTATTATGATTGTACAAAATACATATGCATGTATATTTCATATTGTATAGTATAGATATGCGGTTCATATATATATATATATAGAAGGTAAAACCGGAGATGGATACTTCTATGGTATCGTCCATGTTTACAAACAAACCTAATGTACTTTTAATAAATTGACTCCGCCCATTTTGAATTATCTAGCGCTTGATTATTTATTTATATCAAATTGAAAATAATTTAATACAAGTTAATTCTTAGGTAAGTTTTTTAGATCAAATAGTTGAAAATAGTGAACATTAAATAAAAAAATGTTTAAGTATGAGTAAATTTCTGTTTTGATAATAATCAATGTATTAAATTTAATTCAAATTTAAATGGTCGACTCACGAACGTTAAATACTCATGGTTTCGACAAGTAATTAAAATTCACACAAAAAGAAGATGATAATGTTTTTGATTGTATATGAATTTATTTAACTTTATTAAAATTAAAGTATTTACATGATGTGCAAAACTAAAAATGATTTAAAGTATTAAAACGATGTAAAAAAAACAAATATTGTTAGACTTAAACAGTATTTATACAGGATAGTGTGTACGTATAAGCTCTAAAGCTTTCTGGAACCGATCGTCACGGTTCCTGACACTGCGTTGCCACAGAAATTCATCAAGATATGATGACATGTGGTCATTACATGTGGCATTCATCCGTTTTATTTTATGTTTGGCACACCGCCAAAGGTTTTTGATTCTGTTAGTGTGGACCCCATTAGGGGCCACAAAGCTTATGGAGTGGTTAACAGTTTGGTGTGCCAAGCCAGTAGCTGCCATGATGTTGTTATACGCAGCCCACTGATCAGACCAAATGGTTGCACCTGTGAATAAAGTTATTATTAATGTTAACTATTATGAATAATAAATAATAGTGTTGTTGAAATTTTATTTAAAAAACTTCTAACTGCAAAATGGGGTGTAATCTTCGACCGTACATGTTTATCTGAGAACCTCATACCAAATTGTATACGTCATCAACCCCGAGGTTCCTCCAGTCTCCAACGTACTTTTCCAAAAGAAGTGATAGGCAATGAGCTAACTAAATTCACAGTTTAATAAAGTTGAAACAAAACAGCTTCGTGTTGTTGAAATTTTTATTAAAAAACTTCTAACTGCAAAATGGGGTGTAATCTTCAACCGTACATGTTTATCTTAGGACCTCATTACAAATTATTATTATATATAATATTAAATAAATAAATTTTTAACACAACTAAATTGGGTTTTTTCGCATAACTCAATAAAACAATGATAATTGTTCTCGCATTTGAAAAACTCAATTTAGCCATATTATAAATTTATTTAAAAGATTAATTAACGTAAAATGGAGTGGGTTATTTAACTATATATATACAGCCCTGTAGCTGGGTTTGTTTTAGTGGGGAGCAATTTTTTTTCGGCGTGAGCAACTTTGGCAATGGCTTCATTTCACATTTTATATTATTTTCTGTCAAATATTAGTAACGATGATAATAAATGTTAATAATTAGGAAAAATAACTTTTGTTTTTCCGTTTGAAATAGATTTAGTACTATCAGACCACAACAAAATAGACGTGGGTTCCAGATAAAGTTAAAAGATAAAGTTTCAGATAAAGATTAAAGTAAATTTTTGATTTATCTAATGCAGCTTTCCAATTTTGAAATGCTTCCTATTCCTACGTTTCGGAGAATGAAACAAATTGACGACATGAATAACAAAACGCAGTGTCATAACAGGAGAATATTCTAACCACCTGAAATGTTGAAATCATTTTAACCTGATAAATCTGTTCTGCTATTTTTAAAATAAGTCTGGGGTCTCGTGGCTGAGTGGTTAGCGTGTCCGTCTACCACTCCTACGACCCGGGTTCGAATTCTGCAGTTTCTACAGATTCATCCGGGTAGCCGACCCCCGGTCAACCCAGCCGTCCATCCTTTCGAGGTTGGTAAATGGGTAGACGACGTAAGTTGTCGCATGTTGGCCGGCGAGATGGCTCAGTGGTTCAAATGCCTGCTGAGTCAAACATCTCAATGGCTATCATATAATCAGCGTATATGATGCGGTGAAAAGAATAAACAGCCTTTGTGGCGAAAGATGGATGCTTCATATCATTGGTTGAAGATATGAAGAACATAATCTATATATGCAACATTGTAAGTGGTTCTGCGTATGTCAGAGCTGCAATAATAAAGACTAATAAAAAAAAAGTAGAGAGAATAACTTGTTTTTTTGGTTCACCTTTTTTTACGGTCGTCAGTATTGATTTGCCTGCCAATACCAGAAAAAGTCAAATTTGTTTTTACGTCGCATCCATGATCAACTGGCAGGCTCCCACAAAAAGTTGAATTCGCAGTTTATATAGGGAATTTGTGTAACCCAGGCTTTTGTTCCTGTGATTTGGATTTATTGCTGCTAGTGACTTTTTTAATTTTACTATCTTATTTATTTATTGATGTGGTTTCTTTGTTCGGGCTGATTATTTTGGTGTTATGTTTTACTGCTTCAGTGTCATGTTTTATTGCTTCGGTATCATTTACTTGTTGTTGTTGCCTTTTTCGGGGGGCCCTCGGAATTCCAATCGAGGTCGAAGCCAATCCGCCACTGCACCAGGATTACTCCAGGAGTCTATTGGTTGAATATCCGTGGAGTTTTGGGACAGTTAAACAGATGTTGAACATCATCTCTATGGTTGTTGCTGAAAGGACAGGTGTTGATGTGCCCACTGTCGATTCTGTTTTTGTAGCTGTTTAGAAGAATACTATGGCCAGATCGGAGTTGGGCGAGGGTCCGTTTGATAACCCTTGGAAGTGATTCTTTTGAAGGATCTATTTTTGGTGCTGGAGGAGGCCATCCGTCGAGCAATAACGGCGACTGGTACGACTCAGCGGCGGCTTTAGCAGTGTTTGTATGTAAGCTCTTTAAAGCCGTCTTCAGAGTATTATCGTCGATTATTGTTGATATAACCGCATTTATTTGATGACCATTTTGAGAGGAGTGTTGTCTTTATGTCACGATGAGGACGAGGTTGTATGATGATTTTTATGGCACGGGTGGCTTGGGTTATGGCATAGGAGGAGGAATTGTGAGGCTATTAGCTCTGAATGCTGTCTTACCGTTAATATCTGGCACTTTGAGTGCAGGTGTCGTTCTGATGCGACGGCATGGACGTAACCAGACGTAATGCAGAATTCTGGGAGCGTTGGAGCTCCTGCTCCGTATCATTTACTTGCTCTGTGGTCGATGCACTTTGATCGATTATAATTTTTTAATGTCTTCATAGGTTTTTATAGGACCTTCCATTTTGTGCATGGTCAGACGTCTAGTTAGCGATGCTGTAGTTACTGTAATAAATGAAGCATTCTGACATGCACAGCCCTCAAGAGGACATATAAATTCATTTATCAGATGGCTACGTTTTATAGCCGAACCATGTTGAGGAGTGCAGTTGTTGTTCTTGAGTCTCGTGAGAGACGAAACGTTTGTCTGGCCTATGGCGGGTAATGGTTTACCAATAATATATATATGTATATGTATTGTTGGAAGGAGTCCATATTTTATATAGTATTGTATGAATTCTACCAAATTGTTGGCATTAATCAATTTAAAGTTTGTCTTTTCAATTTTCCTTAATAGAATTTTTTGGAAATTTTTAAATTTGTTGAAAATAGAATATTATCCAAGCTTATCAATAAAATTCAATGAAACAGTTGTTATCCAAATTCATCAAGCAGATAAGGCCTTATTTCGATTTCTCACAAATCATCTTCAGTACAAGTTTGGTTTATATAGTTTCTTTAAACAAAGCAAAGTTAGTTCTTTAGCAAAGTGAGTTATTGGTTGGTGTAGTATTCTTTAACTTTGTTGTTGTCATTTTTTTGTTCTTCATTGTTATTGAAGTTAGTATTAAGGCGTCGAGTTGATTCAGCATTTTCATTACGAATTTGGATAATAATTCTATATTCAACAAATTTAACAATTTCCAGAGAAATCTACTTTTTAAGTTTTTACACATGCAATTAGAAAAATGTTTGCAGATAAATTCTTTGACGCTGTTGTTATAGTGCTGTATATTTTCTCCACTAACAATTCTTTGTTTAGCATGTAATTGTTCACAATAATGAACAATTTTTGCTGATGACCTGACCTTGTAAAAAGTTTCATGTTTGTCTGATTTCCTCATTACTTGAAAAACTTGCCAACAGCCCAGACAACTCGGCTGGTTTAAAAAGACCTTTTCTGCTGGCATCTTGCAAATATAATATATACAATGATGTTTGAATGATCCTAATTTGTATAAAATGAATAATTATTTAACAGACTCTCTACATTGATGACATCTACTCACATTCAAGATACTTTTCACAACAACCACAACCGCATAATATATCGTAATGACCTCATTTGCTTCTAGCCATTCAAGATTTTTCTTAGTATCTTTAGAAACATAGGTCTTGCTTGTATCAAATCGGTGTCTATATCAGCCAACTTTACAGAAATTTTTTTCCATATTAGATCGATTAAATAACCTGCTAGCAAGGTTATAAGCTTTTTTTGTACAGAATTATTTAAATCTAATTTATAAAATTTTTCTAATCCCAGCGTTTGCTGTAAACTGAGTCATCGTAAAAAATTTTCTAGAGTATTCTGGTAAGTTGACAAATTTTCTGGATAAGAAATTGTCATCAATGTTTTTTGCATTCAAGTTACCAATAAAAAAACATAGATAATTTCTTATCCAGAAAATTGTTGATGGGTGACTTGAATGCAAAAGTTGGCTCAAAAAATTTACACGATGTGGTTTGTCATAATGGGATAGGTGAAAGAAATGAAAGAGAAAATTTGATCGAATGGCTTGTCAAAAATGACCTGGTTTGACAATCACCGAATGAGAAAATATCTTTGGAAGAGTCCCGGAGACAATGCAAGGAATATGACTAATTACATTACAATAAATAAATGGTTTCGAAGTGCTGTTTTACAAATGTTTCTCTGGAGCTGATTGTGGCAGCGATCATAACCCAGTTTGTAAAATCAGGATAAAGTTAAAGAAAATCAACAGAGACGTGGCCCCAAAACGTTTGAATTTTATCAGTCTGTCACAAAATAATGAAAACGAAGGAAAGTAAAAGGCCGCAATCCTGCTAGTTACAAAAAGCTGGACAAAACAATCAAAAATGTGCTTAGAGGCAAAGGATAAATGGTTAAATGACAAGTACGAAATCATTGAAAAGATTAAAAACAGTAATACAAATGCAATGTATTAAAACATCAACGAAATCACTGGAAGCTGAATCCGGTAAAGTTATCTTAGAGAAAGAAAAAGTATTCGAAAGATGGACTGAATAAATTAACAATCTTTTTGATGATATCCGTGGTGAAAAGCCTCCTATTAAAAAAGATCTAGAAGAACCAAAGTTACTTAGATCTGAAGTTCGTGTCGCTCTTTCCAAAATGAAATCAAATAAAGCGCCAAGTCCAGATAAAAAAGTTGTTAAAGAAATTAAATTACTTTATGAATTTGGCATTGAAAAAGTGACAGAAATTTTGAATGGGATTTATAACAGCGATCTATCCAAGTCAATATTTATTGCATTACCTATAAAACCTAATACAACTTAATGTGAACTACATCGAACAATCAGCTTGATGAGTCATCTTACAAAACTTTTCTTGAAAATTCTAATGATGAGAGCACGAAGCAAAATCAGATCTGAAATTTCAAATGTGGTTTTGTAGAGGATTGTGGCACAAGAAACGCTATCTTTATTATTATTATTTTTATTATTATTACGTTAAACAAAGGCGAAGACAAAACGTCCCTGTGCATTCTCAAAACCAAGACAATTTTAATACAATAAATTAAATAAACCTATGAGTCTATACTGAATAAAATAATTAATGTTCTTATAAGTCAAATAATGTATTAAACCTTGTAAAAAAAGATAATAAAAAACAAATATAAATAAATTAATCACTCATCCTAATCAATAAATTGACGATAATATCGATACATACTGATAAAAAATTTGAATATATCCCAATCTCACAAATAGCCAACGTCACATCAAATATCATTTGCCCTCCAATCATACATAAATCTGGCATTCATAAGATAATTATCCAACTTTTTTTTTAAAAGCATTCACACTATCAGCATTCACAACATCAACACCCAGATTGTTCCAGATATAAATTGATATAAATTATTTTCTCAAGTTCTTATTGAATGGAAGAGCAATCAATTTCATTTCGTGCCTCTTGTTCGTCCACCAGCTTTCATCTTTACTGGGAGGTCGCGTTGATCTTTAGCTCTAAACAAGTTATACATCATGGTGAGATCCACTCTAATACGTCTGTATTTCAGTGTTGGCAAGCTCACAAATTTTAAACGATCTTCATATTTCATATGTTCGCAGGCCTTGATCGACTTTGTTGCTCTTTTTTGGACCCTTTCTATCACCTCTGTTTCTTGTACTGTCCACGGAGACCAAACACAAGCTGCATACTCTAGATGAGATCTGACTAATGATTTATAAAGCATTATAAAAATAAGATCACTAACACCTTTAAAATTTCTAATTATTAAACCCAACAAAGAATATGCTTTTTTAACATTGTTATGAATATGATCAACAAATTTTAAAGAATTATCAAATATTACGCCTAAGTCTTTAATACTATCGACATTATCCAATGTATGATGACCAATTTTATATTGAAAATTATTTTCCGGTATGTTATACCCATATTTCATTACCACATTTTTTTTCATTTAATTTTACATTACTCTTTGCACACCAACTAGTCAAGTCATTTAACCCATTTTGTAATACCATTCTATCATCATCTGAGCTAACAATTCTATACAATTTTGCATCATCTGCATACATATACATTGCTGGACCTTTTGCATCTTTATACAAACTAAACACATCATTAACATATAAAAAAATAATATAGGACCCAGCACACTCCCTTGAGGAACCCCACTTAACACTGTGTACAACATCTAGACATTTTATCATTCAATCTCACTCTGAATGTTCTTCCACTTAAATAACTGTTTATCCAAGTAATCAATCTATCATTCAATCTGTACTCTTTCATTTTTTCAATTAAAATACCATGTGACACTCTATCAAAAGCCTTCTCAAAATCCGTGTGCACAACATCAATCCTGTAGCCATCATCTAATGCCTTAGTCCAATCATCCAAAAGTTTCAAGAGTTGCATTACCGTTGGTTTACCTTTTACAAATCTATATTGTCTAGGGTCAATCAAATCATTATCAGTTAAATACAACATCAAATCATCCTAAATAACCGATTCCATCAGTTTACAAATAACCACTGGTCAAAGCCACTGGTCTATAATGGTCGATGGTCGCCAATGTCCTGAAAGGATAAGGCACGAGAAAGAAGAAGAAGATTTATGTTTTTAAATTATGGACAGAGTCAAATAACAAGAACTTAAGCTGTTTGGTATGTTGATTTATTGTGTGGCTTTTTATCTTCCCTTCACATAGTTGTTGAATTAAAAATTCTGTTGACTGCTGCCTTGATACAGATCCAATGATACAGGTTAAAGGTCTATTTAACTCTTCCTAGGCTCAGAGAAATCAACAACACTCAAAAACATATATGAATATGTGCTAAACGACACATCACACACAAAGCATGTGACAGGATTAGAGGATCTTTATGTTATATTCGAATCGAATAAGGTCACTGCACGCACTGCGAAACAGCATCAGGCGACCTTAACCACCAGGCCATCACGCCACCTGATATAGCAACTACCTTTCACATTTAGTCTTTGTATCCTGGTCAACACTTAATTATAACCTTCAAACAAATGATATGCAGCTAAGTTATTGATAAAATACATAGCCACCATATCTTTGTACTTACGACATCAAGATTTTATCATAAAGCACAACAACGTGTTGGCCACTTCTACACCTTTGGTTAATCTAGACATCTGAACTCCAAAGTATTCAACTCGCTTTGCAACATATACCTAATTGATTTCGGTGTCCTGCCTAATTTTTCGGTACTATTTACTGAAACCAGTAATGAAATCTCACAGTTCAAAGGGAAGTGAACAAATCATTGAACTTTTTTTTTTATAAAATCCTTACATTAGTCGTTATCCACTTGGCACACAAATCAGAATTTTCAAATGGGTATGCATGAAATGAAACTTGATTTTTCACATCATTTTCAGCATTTGAATTGTATCTGCTTCTTGCAACTCTATGCAGAATATTTATTTACCATTTTATGCAATTGAATTTAAGAACAATATTTAAACATGGTGTAACTAATTATTTATTTATATAAAATTTAAATTAATGAATAACGGCATAAATTAACTACTACTTGTATCATGCAACAAATTAACGAAAAATGAATGACGATACTATTTAGGAAATGACTACTTTAATACGGTGATTAAACAATTGTCCAATAAATACGCCTACTAGGCATGAAGCAAGCTAAGCAGACAAGCTAACTTTCTGATCTAGATATTAGCATCAAGACGTCTTTTGTCTTTTTGCAGAGTGTAACCTCTTGAGGACAAAAGTATCAGGCGGTAAAACGTCCTGGTTTTTTGGTTTATTTTCTGTAATTTTTTTTCTAAGGTGTTCACAAAAATTTATATAAAAGGAATGTTTATTTATAAAGATCTGTTGATCATATAATTTATTAATCTTTACCACAAATTCATCATAACAACGTTTATCTATTATGAAAAATTGTATGAAGGTGCAAGTTCTTAATATGTTGTGTTTGTAGTATTTTTTTGTTATTTATGATAAATACATGCTGATAGCGGTTTAAATGATTTTAAAACAATCCATAGATTACATAATTTTTTATTTCAATATATTTTTATCACTTCAATGTATATCTGCGTGGTGAAAATAATGTTGTCATGGTGTTTTTGGATGCTTTTTTTTATTTTTTCACAAAAAACTAATTCAGAAAAAATTTTGAAGGATTCAAAGTAATCTACCCATTGCATAATTTTTAATTAATTTTTATCAATGCAATGTTTATCTGCATTTGTCAAAATAATATTGTCTCAGAGTTTTTTTTTACAAATTTTTTTATTTTTTACAAAAGACATATGCACATATGCTGATAACGTTTTGAATAAGTTTAAAAAAACTCTATGTATCATATAATTTTTTAATTTTCACAAAAAATTTATCAGTGTTAATATGCGATTTACAAATATTATTAACACAGTGTTTACTGTTTTATCATATACTTTTTTTTTTTACAAAAAAATATATTGCTGATAACGTTATTATAATTGAAAACAAAATCAACATTCCAATGACTTTAATGGAATAAAAAGGATTAATGATTGATTGATTTATTAGTTGATTGATGGTTGTTTTTAATATTTAGAATTGTTTTATTCGTTTTTTATTTGTGACACATTAGAAATGTACATGGAATACTAAAGTTATTCAAGTTAAAAATTATTTTAATTTTATTCTACATTTTTAATTTGTTTGAAGGGTATAGAAACCATGAATCAGCAATCTAGCCAGCAACAACAGCCATCTACTCAGTCATCTAGCGTTAACCAAGCCCAACAAGTTGAGCGTGAAAAGATATTTCAATGGATTCTTGAACTCGCCAATATTGACACTAAAGAAAACGCTCTATTGGAACTAAGGTTATATTATTTAATTATTATAATATTTAATGTACTATGCATTTTTAAACTTTAAACTGTAAAAACCTTAGAAGAACCGTTTTTGTTTCCTTTCTCTTTTTAGAAACTTTTGTTCCTAATTTTCAATCTAAAATATGCTTGTTAATTTTTTATTAATTAAAATAATTTTATTAAGTTTTGGAATTTCTTTATCCAGAAATAGTTTTTGCTTTATCAATGTTGTATATGCTTCTTTGAAAGCCTTATGTGACCATGCATGACCAATCGTGTTTTGTTGTGCAATGTCATCTATGATCATTCAAATCTTGTCATTTAAAATTTATTCTATATTCGTCTTTTTGAATTTGTTTTTATATTGATCGGTGTAGTCTTGCCTTACTATTCATAAAAGTTATCAAGCTGTAAATCACATACATTTCAACTTTGATGACACAAAAAACAAAAGTATCACAACCCATTTTTACCATTCGATTTTTACTTGAAGCTATCATTTGGTATTTAATTTTTTTAAAGGTTTGCAACATAAGAGTATTTTTTAGATTTCAATTTTACGGATTTATCAAGAATAAATCTGTCGATACACAACTTCTGATGTTGCTTGATATATTGACTTTTACTATGGAGGATTAATCAATCAATCAATCAATCATCGTTTATAGTCTCCATCCGTTATGGGCCGTTCATTCATCAGCTTCTGTCTCCAAGCCGATCTATCCATTGCGTCTGTCTCCTTGAGACAGACGCAATTACCTTTAAGTCCTCCTGTATGGTCTGCGTCCAGGACTTTATTGGGCGTTCTCTTGGGTGGGTGCCAGACACCTGGTGCTCAGTAACGAAAATTATTGTATCGTTTTCGCTTCTTATGGCCAAATCATCGTAGGCACTGTGTCAAAAGCTTTTTCCAAGTCCACGAAGACATGGAACAGTTGCTTTTGCTTTGCCATGTATTTTTCCTGTAGTTGATGAATGATATAGATAGCATCACTGGTGGATCTCTCTACCATAAAGCCGTACTGGTAACAACCTATTGAAACACACGACAACAGTCTTCTCTCGATGACTTTTTCAATATCTTTCAGGGGATGTTCCAAAAGACCTATACCCCTATACGAAGAGCATTTCAATGGATCTCCTTTTTAGGGTGTCCTGAAAAGATTTCCAGGATATATCTACCTTCTCCAGACGATCCAGCTGTGCCGATACCAACTCCTCAAATTTCTTCCTGAACATGAGGTTCTTCAGTTTCCATGTCTTTATTCTAGTAGGCGTTCGATCAGTCACAGGACGTGATCGTTCCATGATCATATCGGCCACCAGCAATCGATATTGATGGATGCATGCTTCGCCTGGAATGACTTTGGTATTCCTGAATAGTCGTTTGTGTTGTCGAATAGTCGTTACTGCTTACAATAGTGCTTTCATGAGCACGAAATAAACTGCAACTGTTTTTCTACGGAGGTGATATAATTAATGTTATTTACACTGATTTTAAAAAGCGTTTGACAGTTTTTCATTTGTTGTTGAGAAAAAACCCAAAAATATAAGGTGTTAATTGTCGTTTAATTGATTGGATTTTGTGATGTTCGTAAATGTGTTGTAATGCGATTTAGATGTAATATGGAAATCAATGTTCATAAATCAAGGGTGGGCAACTTTTTTCAATGGCGAGCCACTTTATTATTTTTACAGCTGCTAGTTTTTATAGCTTTTTAGGTTGGGCACAAACCAACTTCAATCAATCAATCAATCTTCGTTTTGCGTCCAGAAACTCGGTTCTCCGAGGTAGGACGTTATTTTCTTTGCCATCAACTTTTTGCGCCAAATTAGACGATCAGTTGTATCCATTTCATTTAAATTTAGAGCTTTCATGTCTTGCTCGATTGTTTGCGACCAGGACTTCTTTGGACGGCCTATGGAACGTGTGCCAGGTACTTCAACATCTGCAAGAGAAGTTATGGCACTGTTTCCACTTCGTTTGACATGACCAAACCACCGCAGACGGTGTTGCCGGCATTCGTCCTTTATATCATCTAAACCAGCACGACGCAGGATTTCGGTTGATTTGATCTGGTCCTTCAGACTAATTCGTTGCATCCATCGGAGCATTTTCATGTCGGTTTGTTGAAGTTGTTGTTCCAGTTTGGTTGTCATTGGCCATGTTTCTGCACCATATAACAACACCGGGCGTATCACAGATTTATAAAGTCTTGATCGTAGTGGTAGTGGGATGTCACGCCGCATCAATATAGAGGCAAGGAGATGCCATTTATTCTAGGCTGCACGTATGCCTGCTCGAACGGCAGCTTCAGCTGTTCCAGTACAATCCAGAACATCTCCTAGATATGAAAGATGTGACTTTCTCTACCTTAATGGCTTCAAAAACATTGCTATTTCGAATTTGTTGTTGTGGATTGATGCTCATCATCATATCCTACAAAAATATCATCAACATATCGAGTGTAAATGTGTGGTTTTAAATGTGGATGTTGTTCAAACGTCTTGTTTTCTAAATGTCCTAAATAAAAATTAGCGAAAAGTACTCCTAGTGGCGAACCCATGGCTATACTATAATTTGTTTATACATTTTTCCTGTTGGGCTTATGAAGGGTGCCTTGGTTGTACAAATTTCAAAAAGCGATTTGAGATGAGATTTGGGAATTTTGATTCGTATATATATATATATATATATATATATATATATATATATATATATATATATATATATATATATATATACAATCTCTCAAGAATTAAGTTAAAGAAACAATGGAACTTATGTATGTATATATATATATATATATATATATATATATATATATATATATATATATATATAAATAATCTTTAAATTAATCTTTATAAATAATTATATATATATATATATATATATATATATATATCAATCAATCTTCGTTTTGCGTTCAGAGACCCGCTTTACTGAGGTAGAACGTTGTTTTCTTTGCCATCAACTTTTTGCGCCAAATTAGACGATCAGTTGTATCCATTTCATTTAAATTTAGAGCTTTCATGTCTTGCTCGATTGTATGCTATCAGGACTTCTTTAGACGACTTTTGGGACGTACTAGGTACTTCAACATCTGAAATAGAAGTTATGGCACTTTTTCCACTTCGTTTGACATGACCAAACCACCGCAGACTAATGATTAATTTTCCACAAATTACCCTTATGCCATCACAAAGAAGAACAACGGCTCCTAGTCCCCAGCAGGTCTTAAGTAGTCAAGGGGTGCCAAGAATCCCTGGGAAGTATGCAATGGCGGAGGGATGTTGCAGAAAAATTCAGAATGGCCCCTCTATGGTACTTAGACATGGAACGCTCAATGTTGGATCACTGACTGGCCGCAGCATGGAAACCGCAGATATGCTCGAGCGTAGAAGGATTGATATCTGCTGCCTTCTGGAGACCCGATGGAAATTGAATGTTGTTTGTCATGTCAACTCAGACAAAGAAAAATATAAACTATTCTGGAATGGTCAAAAGACGGCCAAAAATGGTGTTGGAATTTTTGTCAGAGAACCGCTAGCCCAAGAAGTACTGGATAAGAGTTGATTCATTAATTAAGTTCTTTAACTGAAACATATCAAACATCTCTAACAAATTTATAGTATGACGATCATTCTGTTTCTCAAGATGGATGTTGAAATTTAAACTGAAAGAAACAATATTTTCTAGAAATACTTTCTAGTAAAATTCTTCAAAAAATAAATTAGTAACTGGTGCTGATCCTGGATTAAAGGTGAAAGGATACTGGTGAAAGGATTAACTCACGTCTCATGTGGATCAAGCTTCGCCTAGAAAAGCAAACAATGATTATTTTTTCTGCATACGCACCACAGACAGGCGAATCAGAAGAAATGAAAAATGACTTCTTGGCTGCGTTCTCTGACACCATCTCAACAATACAAAAATCTGAAACAATCCCGATTGGAGGCGATCATAATGGCCAGGTTGGAGAATAAACAGATGGTTTTGACAATGTGCATGGCGGTTTTGGCTATGGAGAACGGAATGAAGATGGCAAACGCATCCTTAAGTTTGCTGAAAGTCACGGATTTTGTTTGCCGAACACATATTTTAAAAAGAGGTTGGAACATCTCATAACATACAAAAGTGGACCATCAGCCACGCATTTTGATTTCTTCGCTGTCAAACAACAGCACCGAAGGCTATTCAAAAATGTCAAACTTATACTTGGCGAATCATGTGTCGCCCAACATAGACTCCTTATGGCAGACCTGGTTGTCGAACTGTCTAAACATAAGTCAAAACGCGGAAGCTGAAAAGCAATATTCATCGAGAAAAATTTCAACAGATTGTCGCCACACAGTTAGACCACCAATCGCAATCTAGTACAGATTGGAGTACATAAAAAACCGTTTTGATAAACGCTGCAACTATAGTTTGTGGAAAAACTGGTACAAAACGTCAGCATGAACGGGACACTTGTATCGTAAAGCAAAACAAGCAAAGCGTACAAAAAAGACATAGTTGGTGCCACATGTATCAAAAATGACAAAAATGAGATGGTTCTTGAACAAGATGAGATCAAGCTACAATGGAGAGAATACTTCAACCGTCTGTTAAACGAAACAAATCCCATCAATGTTAACTTTGACTCTCCAAGGGTGGAGAAATTGCTCAATGCCGACTGAACGGAACTATAGCATGACAGTTCCGCTATACAAAGGCAAAGGTGATCCATTGAACTGTTCATCATATCGGGGTATACGTCTGTTAGAACACTCCCTGAAAATTGTCCAGAAAATCATTGAGAGAAGATTAACTTGTGCATTACAATCGGAAATTATCAATTTGGTTTCTTAGCGGGGAAATCAACAATTGATGCAATTCACATCCTTCGGCAACTGCAAGAAAAGTACCTCGCAAAGCATCAACAACTATCACACATTTTTGTAGACCTTGAAAAAGCATTTGATCGAGTTCCCCGTAAAGCAATCAGGTGGAGTCTACGTCGACAACTCATTCCAGAATATCTTGTTCGACTTGTGATGGAAATGTATACGAATACTAAGACTTTTGTCAGCACAACGGTTGGAAACACAGATGCATTTGACATCGGCGTTGGAGTTCACCAAGGCTCGATTCTCAGTCCACTGTTATTTATAACTGTGATGGAAGAAATCACAAAACCGATACGCACTGGTGACATTTGGAATCTAATAAATGCTGATGATATCGTTTTAACAGCCACGTCTGAGCAGAATGCAGCACAGATGTTTGAAGATTGGAACACCAGACTCGCCGATCATGGATTCAAAGTCAACATCAGCAAAACCAAAGCAATGAACACTGGTGAACCCATCCAATCCACAGCTACTGGACGATGGCCCTGTTCAGTTTGTAAAGCTGGTGTAGGTAACAATTCAATCAAGTGTCAGCAGTGTAACCAGCGGTGTCACAAACGTTGTTCAAAAATAAATGGTACTTTATCTAAAGTGTCCAATTTTGTTTGTCCTGCTTGCATCAATCCACAACAACAAATTCGAAATAGCACTGTTTTTGAAGCCATTAAAATAGAGAAAGTCACATCGTTTCAATATCTAGGGGATGTTCTGGATGGTACTGGAACAGTTGAAGCTGCCGTTCGAGCACGCATACGTGCAGCCTGGTATAAATGACATCTCTTTGCCTCTATATTGATGCGGCGTGACATCCCACTACCAATAAATTTATAAATCTGCGATACGTCTAGTGTTATTATATGGTGCAGAAACATGGCCAATGACAACCAAACTGGAACAACAACTTCAACGAACCGACATGAAAATGCTCCGATGGATGCAACGAAGATTGATTGATTCAATATATATATATATATATATATATATATATATATATATATATATATATATACACATATACAATATATATATATCTCCACGTTGTATCGGCTGTCATAATTTCATATTGATTGTATTGATTTACTCATTAAATTAGAAAATAGTGTTAGTTTCGTAAGATTAACCATTGAACTTTTTAATAATGCAGTAAAAAAAGGGAAGTAGTACAAGATTTAGCACCAATGTTGTGGCATTCATTTGGAATGAATTATTAAATAATAATAATAAATAATAATAAATAATTATAAATATATATATACGTATACAATATATATATCTCCACGTTGTATCGGCTGTCATAATTTCATAGACCGATTAAATTTATGTTCTCTGTATTGATTTACTCATTGATTGCAAAATTGTGTTAGTTAGTTTTGTAAGATTAACCATTGATCTTTTAAATAATGCAGTAAAAAAAGGGAAGTAGTACAAGATTTAGCACCAATGTTGTGGCATTCATTTGGAACTATTGCTGCATTACTTCAGGAAATCGTAAGCATTTACCCTGCTATAAACCCTCCGAATCTCACGGTATGATTTTTTAGTTAGTATTATTCATTGTTATTAATTATTACTAATTATTTACGTTTTTTATAGGCCCATCAATCAAACAGAGTTTGCAACGCGCTTGCACTTATGCAATGTGTTGCTTCACACATTGACACCAGATCAGCATTTTTATCAGGTATATTTGGCTTGATTTGGTGGTTTTAGAATTTAAAAAAATTCCACATTTTTATTTACCCTGAGTTTGTAACAGTTTATATTTTGCTGATTGGAATCAACTTCGTATGAAGTAATTTGGTTAAATTGGTTCAAATGACGTTGTAATTAAATTAATTTTCAGCCCACATTCCATTATTTTTGTACCCTTTCCTTCACACTGTCAGCAAGACTCGTCCATTTGAATATCTTAGGCTGACAAGTCTTGGGGTTATTGGAGCTCTTGTAAAGGTTAAAAATGTTTACAAAAGTATTTGATTTTAACTCTACTATTAATTCAGTTGAAACTACAATATGATTATGACATCGAATATATCCATAAAACAGCTTTTAAATATTCTTCTAACTAATTTTACCAGACAGATGAACAAGAAGTCATTAACTTTTTGTTAACAACAGAAATAATACCCCTTTGTTTGAAAATTATGGATTCTGGAAGCGAACTTTCTAAAACAGTTATTTTTTTTTTATTTTAATACACCGCAAATTTATAAATCACAATTTTGATTTTCAAAAGATCCCATCTGTTTATGATCAAGAAAAACATCTGTTTAATTGTCTATTTGTTGCATCTAAATTTTTTCTTACATAAAAATTCTGACATTTTGAACATTTTTTTTAAAAGTTTTTTACTTGTTCAAGTTTCTTTTCCATTTTTTGGGGTTAATTTTTGTTCTCTTTTTGGTTCTTTTTCTCACAAATGTTGCTCACTTTTTCGTTGTAAACAATTAAGTTTGGCAAAAGATTATCACCACCCTGTTACTGAAAGATAATTTTAAATGCATTGAAGATTTCAAAATTATCACGTCAATTTCGTTTTGATTATCAATTATTTATGAAGTAATTAGTTGATTATTATTGTTATATTATTACAATTCCCTCTTCAATATTTCTCAGAGGTATCAACGACAAACCAACAGGGCATAGAAATGCACGTGAATCAATGCACCACACACATTGCATGTGATATGCCGGGATTTTTTTGCATTCGAATCCGGTCAATGCAACTACAGTGACCAATTACCGTTGACCAATTGCCAATGATCATTACACCATCGCGCCGCCCAATTTGATTAGTACAAATTAATAGATTATCGGTAGTTTGATTCTATTTCAATTATCAAAATCGATTTTCATTACTTTTTTGTAATTTTTTTGCGTAGTAGCTTTTTTCAAGTTAATGTTACCAACAATTAAAACAAATCAAATGACGGTTAGTTAAATAACCTTTATAAGAAATAGCCTGCAATTACTTTTTGATCAGATTCAAAAATTCGTTGATACTGTTCTAACCGAACCCTTGAACTTGTAGGGTACAGTTACTTCTCTTTATGTAGATTCTTGACTTCAGAACAGACTTATTTTAGATGAACTTTATTAGGAAGAAAACAGTGCTGGTAATCACTTATGTGTATTGCTGCGACACTTTAATTCAATCGTTATTATCGTTAGAATACAATACAATAACTAATCAACAGATAAATCGATGAATAAAACCAATCGTCAATAATTAGACTTCTCCCGTCAGATGTTTCTTGGCTATAAATTCTCAGTATTCGCTTCTCAGAAGATTATCGTTAATTTCGTTAATTCACTCGCAGACCGCGTGTAGAATTCTTTGTGATAAACTTCCTAGGAAGTTATCGATAATTTTCTTGCAGTTCGCACACAAAACTTCTCTGCGATAGGACTTTTTTTTCTAGACCTCCTTTCTTGGACCTCTCTCTCACTTGTTCAGTTGTCCATTTATATAGATACCAATGCGCTTGTAAATATGCCTAATAAAATGTGTGACACTTTTAGACGAAGCCTGATGTTATCACACTCACTCCATGACGTCCATAAATGAGTTTTTTCATGCGTGTCAGATTGCCTAATTAATTTACATGTTCTTCAAAGATCCATTAGTTTATTAGTTTTGTTAGTTCACCTATGCATGCTTAATATTTCATAATTATTAATTTGCATCTCGACTTCACGTCTGCAACAATATTTTGGTCATTTATAAATTGCCTTTCTTTAATAAATTTGTAAAGCAGAGAGTTTAGTATCTTTGGTTCGATAGTTGATTAAATGTTTAAAGTAGATGCACCAGCTAAAATTCTTTTTTATTTTTTGTCCAATTATGAATATAAATCAAATTTTTCTATCTGAAAATAATTGAAATCGGTTTAATTTTTTCCGACATTGAACTATCGCTACAGTTGAACCATGGATTTAAATGAATTACAAAAGCGTTAGTTTATATTCTAAAAAACAATTTCAGGTTGCAACATTTATTTTACAAAAAATACTGCTTGATGAAACAGGATTATCATATATCTGCCAAACATATGATCGATTCTCACATGTGGCCATGATATTGGTATGTTTTTAAAAAAATATAAAACATATACGTGCTGTACACCCCCCCCCACACACACACACATATATATATATATATATATATATATATATATATATATAAATGTCAAATTTGTTATGAAAACCTCGTCCCAATATATATATATATATTTTGGGACGAGGTTTTCATTATAACAAATTTGTTATAATGAAAACCTCGTCCCAATATATATATATATATATATTTTGGGACGAGGTTTTCATTATAACAAATTTGATTAAATGATTTTGCCCATTTAGCGTTTATTAATTTCCTAAAAAAACATTCAACAACACGTAACTGTTGCAATTCATATTTATTAAAACTTCCAATCATAGTGTGGCTAACAACGTTGTTTCGACAAAGATTTCATCTTCAGAGACTATAATTTGAAATAACGGAATATAAATTGAAATAAAGATTTAAAATCATAGAAATTAAGAAAATACAATTGCAATGAACCGAGATTGGAGTAAAAATGATTACCTAGTAATAACATGTAAACATGATATAAATATGAATAACGAATATAAATAAAATATATATGAAAGAAAATAAAACAAATAAATTAAGAAAATCAAGTATTAAAATATAAATAAAATTGGTAAGTATCAATATAGAACTATAAATAGACTGAAAACGAAACGTGTGTGTAGATGAATGCGGGTCCTGAAGTTAATAAAATTCGTAATGTTATTGTCGTTGGCAAGAGTGTACTATAAATAGACTGAAAACGAAACGTGTGTAGTGATGGGATGGTACTGGTGTAAAAGGTGGGATGTATTATGCGAACGGGTAAAGTAGAGAGCAATGTGAGTATAAGTTGTTAAATTATGAAAATATGATGACAAAAAAGGTGAATAAATGAATATTAGATATTATATAATGTATCGAGTGACGTGACGACGTAGGATTTTTGACGAGTAGTCACAAAAGGTGTATTCAGAGGTTGGGAATCGCCCAGTGTTGAACGATATTCATATCGTTGCGGCAACTTCGTCTGTTGCGGATCATTTCCACCGGGGACCGTAGACGTCAAATTGCAATATTGAAATAATAGTTGGATTATTGCGCGATTGATTACTTATAGGTCAGGGGAACATAGATCAATGATCGACTATATATTGGTAAGGGCCAAACATAGGAAGTATGTGAAGAATGTGAAGGCGATACCTGGTATGTTGCAGCATAGTATGGTTGTGATGGATGTGACATCAAAAGAAATGGGGAGGAGGAAGAAGGATAAGTTTGTGGCAAAGAGAAAGACATGGAAGTTGCAGGATGCAGAGGTGAGGAAGGCATTTGAAGTGAAGGTGGCTGAAAATTGGGAGAGTGGTAAGGATGGAGATGTTTGGGAGAGATACAGGGACTGTGTGTTGGCTACGGCAGATAAAGTATGTGGATGGACGAAAGGAAAGTGTAGGCATGGTGAGACGTGGTGGTGGGATGAAGATATAAGAAGGGTTTTGGAAGTCAAGAAGGAGAGGTTTAGGGTATGGAGAAGGGACATGACGGAGGAAGCGGAGTCTGAGTATAGGAAGGCTAAGAAGGTTGCAAAACAGGCAGTGGCAACTGCAATGACGAAAGCATCAGATAGGTTAATGAAGGAAATGGAATCTGATGTGAGTTCGAGGAAAATGTTCAAAGTAGCAAAGCAGTCAATGAGGGATAGGAAAGATGTTATAGGGAATGGATGTGTTTGGGATGGATCTGGCAAGTTGTGCATAGATGAGGAGGAAAAAGCTC